GCTATGTTCACTAATTCACTGGGATGCAGTACAAGAAGTGGCGCATTCCTTGACAAATAGTCCGATAGAATTCCTTTAGGATAATAGCTGTGTACCAGAAAACCGCGACATCCTTTTGTTCCCATTCCACAGAACCTTACAACATTCTCGTGGCATAGGGTCCTGCGACGGGAAAAARACGATATCAATCATTTCAATTGTTTAAATCATACAGAAAAAAAGCTTTCCAGATCTGTCAGAGATCTGAGATGGCAGCATAAACATTTGATGTTGATGTTGCATTTTATCATATCAAAGTTCTGCCGCTTGGTAGAGGAAAAAAATTACAAAGTCATCCAAGAAAATCTTCTTAAATATTTCCTTTTAGGCAATGAAAACGCTTAACCACGTAATTGATCATAGTTTTTGATAACTTGATTTTTATATGTAATTGCTGCTTAGTGATCACAATGATCGATAATTAGGATTAGACGGCCATCRCRWGAAAAGCYTCGCYTTTTCTTKTYTTTTTTGTACCGAATCGATAATTSYATKAACKTTTTYYTAGTATGAAATAAATGATTGCGTTGATCCCAAGGAAGGAATGAGTGGATACAAGTTTACGCTTGTAGTGGATATTTTGTCTTGGTTAGAAAAAGTCTCGAAATCTTAGTTTTAAACCTACGACAGTGTACAAAGAAGCAGAGATGGATATTTCATTACTTACATCAATATTCTTGCTTGGTTGGTAAATCCTTCCTTCACCGTCTCTGAACAGCCATCTTTTTCAAGATGGATCAATACACTTTGGTTTCTGAACTTTCCTTCCATGAGCACCTAGAGAAATCAAAGATCGGAATGATTTGAGGAAGAAAGAGTTATACTAAAACGGCTGCCCCACCCTCTTTTGTGAAAGAGAAACAGTGTGATTCTGAGATGTGATGCATGATCCCGCTGTCAAGAATATCGCGAGCGGCCACGAGAGCGGGCGATTTCGGGCAAACGAATTGCCTTTTCAGTTCCAATTCCTGCGATTACATCAAATGTGAGTTGAGTTTGTTTTGATGTGTTGTTCTCTCTCTCGTAATAAGTCATAAATCTATCTATTAAGAAGACATTTAATACCCATGGTAAGTCAGATGCTATCTCTTCTCCTGGATTCACATCGCTCCAGTCTAACTTCCATAATTCTAAAAATTGTAACAAAAAAAAAAAAATACAAGACTATCAGTATGCGAAACATACGCACCCACTCAATACCCTCCCTGAGCCCTCACTTCTCATGGCCAGCAGCTTGTGCTTCGGTGCTGAGCAAGACAAGCGCAAGCTCAAGGATGAGATGTATCTATATTATTTATCGGCATTAATATATTTAGTTTACCTTCTACTGTTTGGATAGGCGGATATGTATCGAGTGTGAGTCCCAGAGCTATAGAAGAAGAAAAAACGATATAAAATGATAAGCAGTTTTCAAGCTGAACCTTTTTCTTTTTTTCCCACCAATCAAACGGTCTTCCTTCCTCCCTATGTATGACGTCATGACGTCATGCGTTGTGATTGGATAACTTACTTGGGTGCTGTTTACATTGGTCCAAGAGCTGTTGGATGGTTTCAAATTGAAGGAAGTTAGCATACGATACAGAGTCTGATTCGTCTTTGATTCGATATTTCTGAGACGATTCGTCGAATGCGATTTCTACGTGCTTCACGGTCGACTCATTTCTAGAATGAAAAAGAATCGGGCCAAAGATGTCAAGAGGTCACGTTCAAWAGTAAGGCAAGGTCTACACTGGAAGCACCCTAAGACCTTACAAGGACACATGGTGCCCCAAAAAGGACCTTAAATCTCCACAAGCAGCATAATAATTAAGTACCAACAAGGAGGACACATGGTGGGTGCCCCAAACAGGACCTAAAAGAGCATAATGATTAAGTACCAACAAGGAGGACCCCACGATCCTACAAGGACACATGGTGCCCCCCCCCCCTTCCTCGAGAAAGGTCCCCAAGACTTCAAGAGGAGCACAACGTCAGACACTGAGAACCCAAAGAGCCCAACAAGGACCCATACTTCACAATGACAAACAATACCCCACCCTACCCCCTCAARAAAAGGGCTAAAGACTCCATAAGACCCAGCGATAAGACAGGCAGCACACCTAAGCCTCACAAAGGCACCAAGCATTTCACAAGGTACATTTACGTGAAAACATACACAATCGACAAGTGTTACTAAGACTGACCTGATAGAGAGTATAGTAGCATATCCTACTAATCTCAGTCGTAAAAGAAAGCAACCAGGATCCTGAATGAAGAAAGACATTAAAAAATGTAGAGTTTCTCTTGTTAACATACTACTTCCTTGTTCAAACCATTCARTGTAGAATACCTGTTCCCTTAGTATTGCTGTTGCTAATCCACCTGGGATATCGCTGAAATACCACCTGAAATGACAATAACCAGCTCGTGGTCAGCACAGAGGTTAATAAAATGCAAGGATTATCCATCGAGGATATCGTGGATAGCACAGACGTATTTTACAAATCTGTCAGTCTCTCGAGGTATTTTTTTGTTTAGACCAAGCTACTTACGGTTCTTGTGTTATATCTGCYATCGTAACACGTTCACGTGGTATGACACCAAACTCACTCGTGCTATAAAAGAATGATATACAATAAATTGGACGAATTTTTCGACCTATCGCTTTTACATTAAGATACATCAGGACTTACGATGATGCTGAAAAAGCTTTCCATTCGTGTTTACCAGCTGCTTCGGTGACGGTTAGGTGATCTCCCTATAAAAAAAAGAGCATTTTCATTGGMTGAGCTTTGATTGCACGCAGTGTGATTGGTTCAAAGGTATGTCGTCTATCCGTACCGTGACCGYGACGGAACCGTGTTCTAGCACTTATATTGGCTGAGCATTGATTTTCCTAATTTACCTTTTTGAACGGAAGACTTCCTGGGAGGTTGGAATCAAATGACTCATTCGCGATGACCGTGAACCCAAAGAACTCAATAGCTGAAGAAACCTTTATTAAAGCATGAAACGAATGCATACGGAAAGAAATAAAAAAAATTATTGAACAATAAAATGAAATAGCTACTGTACTGTGCTATACTGTGCTA